GATCGCCGACAGTTCCTTATAAAAAGAAACGCGCGGCGTCGCGACGCCGTTATTCGCGCCGGGCGGAAGCGAGCGTACGTCGTGACGCTACGAAAGACGCCCGATATATCGGAAGTGGAAGTATACCGCGCCGGCCTAAAACGGTTTCCTTTTCACTCGGCTGAGATCCTCTCCCTTTCCGTCGTAAGACACGTCGTCGAGTATCGTAGTTCCGTCTTCAATATCGTTCGGATTAATCGCAAAAAACTGACGATGTCTTCGGTTATGTATGTGAGTATATATTTCTTTCATTATTAAATGAATCCCGGTATCGTTTCTTCGGTCTTCAGTTCGGCGTACATTTCTTTATTGTCATTATAAATAGTTAACATTGAGTAGGTCGGGAGAGCGTATTGACACAATCTGAAGAGTGGGTTCCCTTTCCTGAGAAAAATTTTCAAACTGAATTACTGGATTACTGAATTAATTCTCAAGTCGAATTCGTTACTTTGTTATATAATTGAATGAGACTAGATTTCTTCAGTTCTTATAGTCCAGTTCGGTATAGTTCTTTGCCGTCAATGAATCAACGTTAAGAAGGTCAGGATAATAACATAATTAGAAATTAGATTCTTTCCCCTGAGAAAAATGTCCAAGCCGTATTCATTACTGAATTCATTTCCGCATGCTGAATTTGTTACTTTTTTTATAACTGAGTGAAATTATGTTTCTTCATCGTTAAGGAATCAATGTTAAGAAAGTCAGAATAGTCAGTCTGACACAATTCGAAGAGTAGATTCTTTTCTTCGAGAAAAATTGTCCAAGTTGAATTCATTATTGGATTTATTTGTAAACTGAATTTATTGCTGAATTAATTTCTAGGCCGAATTCATCATTTTTTCATACAATTTGAGAGTGAAACTATATTTCTTCAATCTTCAATTTAATATATTTCTTCATCGTCAATGAATTAGCGTTAAGAAGATCGAAATAGCTGTCTGACGCAATTCGGAGAGTAGATTTTTTTCTCCGAGAAACATTATCAAGCTGAACTTATTAAGTCCAAATTGAATTTATTGCTTTTTCATATAATTGTGTGAAAAGATATTTCTTCCATCTTGAGGTTTTGTTCATATTTCTTCATCATCAACGAATTAACATTTAAAAAGTCAGGGTAGCAGCCTGACGCACTTCGAAGAATAGATTCTTTTTCTTGAGAAAAATTTTCAAACATAATTCATCAGCGAGATGCACTATGAATATACGCTGAAATTATAAGAGAGAATAGATTTTATGGTTTTACCTTGAGAATGAGGCCGGAACTGTTTAAACCCCGCGGAAAAATTGGCGCGCCGCTTGAACAGATATATAAATGTAACGAACGAATGTAATTAACGGGTGCGTGTGTGAAAATCTGCCGAGGATCTGCTGTCGTGACGTCTTTTGTGGCCAGGGTCGATCCGTAGGTTCAATTTGGCGGAATTCCAGAAATTCCTGGCTTATTAAAGACGTCAAACGACTTAACTCGATGACGCCCGTGTAGCCGGGTGTGCAATTCGTCTTTAACAAATATGTTATATTCGTCTTCTCACAAATATAAGATCTTCATAAATTTATATTTTATTTAGGCGAAGTACCGCATCACGGGCTTACGGTTGAAAGCACTGATTAACTTGATTTCGACCGAATCATCATCCTTTTACTTCGCTTTTTAATCTGTCAAATTTGAAATTACATGAAACATGTTCGGACTTGCGCGGACGATTTGCGCGGTAAATTAGATCCTCAATGACGTCTGGCGTCTACAAATAACGAATTGAAGATTAACGTATCTCCCATCGTGTCTTTCTCAAAGGAATCCTTGGGCGCCAAGGTTGCCATGTTTAACCAGTATGCCAGCAAGCACAAGGATAAACAAAGCAAGAACCCATTCACGTCCGGCTTGAACATCGAGAAGCCGAGATTCTCCAAGGAGGAATATGGCAGGTATGCGCGAAATTCACTTTGGTCAAAACTTCATATTCTTCAACGACGAATATACTACTTACGGGGCAAATAAAAACAAACTTGCGGATAAAATGTGTATATTTCAAACTGACAAATAGATAAATTGAGAAAATTTATAAATTCGAAGTTAATTAAATTGATAATTTTATCAATTAACGAACTTGCATTTCTGTCGATTCACTTTAGGCCAGAAGCAGGCTCTTTGTCCGATCTCCGTGGCCGCAAGGCAAATGCCCACGTGCTGAAGGAGATTCTGGAGCTCTGCGAGATCATTAATCAGGAGGGTACACCTTGTCGGGACCAACCCGACGTAATCGGCATCACGTTCGGCGACATCTTCAACATTTACACCAATATCAGTAACAAGTGCGTGGGACTGCTGTTGAGGGCGAGGAAACAGAAGTACTTGGAATTCGAGGGCGAGTGTCTCTTCCAGGTGAGTTAACTCACGTCGACAATATATCGCGCTTTTGACATCTACTTTGACACCTGCGTTCGATTTAATCCAATTCCAGACGTAGACATGAACAAATATTAGAACGTAATGTTTTTTGCAAAGAATCAAAGTCGATAATCAATTCGTTATGCTGCGTTAATATTATCGGCAAGCTCGAATAAACGTGATTTCTTTCTAACGGAAGAGAGATAAGACTGCTTTTAAGAGCCAAGTCGCGATTGTTGCGGCGATATATTATTTTAATTCTTGCGAGAGAATATATTGTTCGGCGTTTAATCACGGCGAATAAAGAGATTCTTCTACTCCAGGCGGAGATACAATATTTTTCGCGACACGGTAAATGGAATCGAGATATGCCACTTGAATTATTTCACTCGAAATAGGGAGAAGGGGAATGAAATGTACGTCATAAATAATTAGGATTCATACGCACACAGGATTCATTTAAGGTTGACTCACCGCGTACATTTGTCCAGGATAATTGTCCGGTGCGTGCGTCATTACACGTTGAACAACATAAAAGTCCGCAAGTTTGTTTTTATTTGCCCCTTTCGCAAAAATTAAAATTTCCCGGCAGTATTGATCGCAACGCTTAGTAGGGTTTTAAATCAATTTCGGGACGGATTAACTGGAAAACTAAATTTATTGAGAAATATGGATACACGCTTGACGTATAAAAATTCACATAGATCGGATAATCCGGGCGTACGTCGACATACGTTTGGGCATCACATTCCCTTACTAAATATATTTCGCCGTGTTTAGCTGGCAAAAAACTGTTAATTTGCACAATGAAAACATTCGACTGTGTGAATACGATCTAGCTTTTACGTCAGGAAGGAGCACTTTTTCATAAAAATGAGTGGTTACATCAGATTGCGTACGACTATATCCGAATTATGTAAACGTGCTATTGAATATTTTTTAGTAAACACATACAGTGCTATGTAAATTTGAAATGTTTAAACGTACGTATGTTTAGCTACGAATATAAAATACTCATTTGACACTCACAAACACTTATTTGCACATTTTAAAATAGCACAAGTAAATATGACACTCTTTGACGTATTTCTTTCCATATTGAAACGAAATTGATTAAGAAAATAATATGTTAATGTGCTCTCACTCATCAGGAAAACGAGTATTGAAGACGGACGATCTCAAAAATATTTATACATACTCGTATATACTTGTCATATTCTTTCATCATATTTCGCCGTATTTCGCGAATAGCATGTCTGAGAGCGCAAAAAACGGACAGAAAAATAATAGAACAATAAACTATAGATAAATAAAATTATAAATAAATAAAACTATAAACATAAACATGATTTTCTAAAACAGGTTAAAAACAAGCTATATGAGGAATAAAAACGGTAAAATATTTTGGAAGGATCTTCCCATGTAAAGACATGTTAATATTGACAATATTAATATCTAAAAGTATCATAAAATCCGTGTTTTGGCTCCTAAAGTCTATAAAGATTCTTTCTTCCTTAAAATTAAAATAACAAACCGCTACAACAGACGCGATTTGGCTCTTAAAGATTCGTTCTACTTCTCGATCAGTTAGCAATACAACCTACGTGAATATAAGAGTTTGCAATCTTTTCTTCTTGTGTAGAGGAGAGACGACAACGTGCCAATATTCCTGGTGAAACCTGTCGAAGAAATCCGTGAGGAGTATAATCAGCGGTTAGAAGAGATCAGGAAAGATAGTTAATGCGAATCACGTTTATCCCTGCGAATTTTGCCTGTGCCCGAAGCGATGACATTCGTGACTGCGACCGGTCGAGACCGGTCGGTCTACATTATTCGTCTGTATTTTATAATAACGCAATTATCCATCCATAGTGTATACTTTGCGTGTACTTGCGTGTACTTAACTCGTCGGGTTTTGTATGTAAATAAATGAGCGTGACTCGATGTAAATAATTCGCCGCTGGTGTGATTGGGATACGTTAATGCGACAAACATGTTAGAGCGACAAATAGTATAATTTTTACAGTACATTCTGTTAGGACGTTGTCAACTTTGTAAATATCCAGCGTGTAATAAACGACTGATGTATCTTCCGTATATCCTCGCTTCTACTTTCATTTCCTCCGAGGTAACTTCAAGTATTTAAAACCCTGGTGTGGAATTTGGCTCATCAAAAAATCTGACTTCGAATACACGCGCGTGTATAAATCTCATTCCTTATCAGCGCGCCGAGGAATTCTCTGCCTTTCTTAAATTTTCCGATTTTCCGTAATCCAATTGGATTTTCGCGTGTTATATTTCCACTGCGAATACTTATGTTACATTATATCGCTTTCACGATTGCAGGTGAGACGACAAAACTTTAATTCATAATATTCGGTAAACCGTAAAGTTCCGTCCATCTAGCGGCGAGCAGCTATATCCAGAACTGTCAATATTGTCTCTAAATGTCTAAACCTAATTTTTTAGTTTTACCATCTGTCAAAAAAATTCAATATATAAAGGTATACGTTCACATCAATAACATCCCAAGCAGCACGTAAATATTTGCGGGACGTTCGTTTTACGTTCACTTGGTTTGGTATTCAAACAAAGTGGGAACGTTCGAAGAACATACGTTTTAGAACTTTTAATATATATCTTATATAACAAAAGTATCGCAATATCACAATTATGCTGCTTTGTTACAATTCTATTTTTTAATTTAAAAATATATATTTTGAAGTTTTATTATGTCTATTTGTAACAAATTATTTAAAAAATATATTAATTTATATA